CCATTGCCTGCTTCCTAGGGCTGAGAGAAAGTGACCGGCCCAAGGTCACTCAGCTGGCTTTGTGCCTAGGCGGGACTAGAACTCATGGTCTCACAGTTTCTAGCCTGATACCTTAATCACTACACAAAACTGGCTCTCAGTATACAGTATGTATATGTATGTATGTATGTATGTGTGCTTGTGTGTGTGTGTGTATGTTTTTTATTAATCTGTTTTATTAATCTGTTCTTCAGATTTCCATTCATATTTCAGAAAGAGAGATTTTGCTCCTATGTTCCCCATACAGATATATGGAGTAAGAAGGAGAGTAGGCATAAAAATAACTGGAGAAAAACTAATCATCCTAGGGATAAAACCCATCTGGTCTCAGAATGCAACAGCTATTTTCAAGCTCACATTGAAAAAAATAATGCAAAAGAGTGATCCTAAGGCATCAAGTTTTAATTTGAAGTTAGTTAATTCACATAAACCTAAACTTAGCCCACCTGAACCGTTCCTTATATAAAACAATTAGCATGTAAGACCAAATTGTTTCCTAGACGTTTTTCCAGTCTTGCTCTTTATCTAACATTCTGCTTTAAAATGATTGCCTACTTAATGAGATAAGAAGTAGCTTTTTGCCCAGCAGTTCTCAGTTATCTTACTTCAAATGAAATTCCTATCTTTACTCTTTAAAAAAAAAAAAAATGATTATTGGGACAGGATTGGAATTGGCCACTTATAATTATTCAGGAACATCTTATTTTGGCACTTCAGTCATTTATCTGTTATCATAAATATATTAGAGTATACATAGTTATGCATGTCAGAGGCTGGCCTTTGTTGCTGGGACCACTTAAAGTTTGAGTGGTCCAAAGGCCACAGAAGGTGATTTGATGATGCAAAGTGAAGATTTGCCATTTTTTTCTCCCTGGTCTTAAGTGGCAGTTGTTGTTTTTTTCCCCCTTTGTTTTTGAACTATACTAAGCCTGTTGGACTTACATTATTCTTTTAGGGCTTTCAGGATGGTTTTTATTTATAGAAAATTGAATGATGTTGATTTGACTTCCAATTAAATGGTTTGCAATTTCACAAACCGAAGAGCAGTTTGACAGTGAAACAAATTAGTAGAGGTGGTAGCCTACCCTTTACTGGGTATGTGCAGTCAGAAGTTGGGCAGCCATATGTTGTGGATTCTTCAGTTTGGATTCCTGCACTAAGCAGAAGTTGGACTCGGTGGCTTAAATGGTTTTTTCCAATTTATGATTCCTATAAAAGATTCCCCCACTTTTTTTTTTAATCAAGAACTTTGCAGTCACCATAGCTGTAGCTTCTTTTAAACTACCTTTGCTTTAGTGTGTCACAATATTATCACTTTAAATTTTTATCTGTTATTTGTAAAGTAACCAGATTTAGGCTTTAAGTTACAATCTTCACATTTCTCAGTAAAAATAAAATGAAATCATACACACCAAAAATGTACATTCTGCAGCTTTACAAAATTATTTTAAAGGTTATATGCATCAATTTAAAGTTCAGGTTCACTTTCAATCAGACGATGAAATTCCCAGGTCCTTAAGTGCCTTTCCTTTCTACATATTAACATGTTATTCATTTTCCTGATTGTTTTTAATGAGTGGTTTATTTGTTTTTTAGTCAGATGATTTGCTCTATATCTAATTCAGTGCTTTCAGCTGACAGAATGCCAGTAGACTAAGTATGATCAGGTATAATCTCTGTAAACCTATGTTTATGTGGTCTTATTTTCTGTCATATCAGTGCAAGCTAGTACTGTTGGTGAAGCTGATCATTCTTTTTCATGCTCATCCATGAACTTATTAGCTACTTAAGAAAAAATGGGTTCACAGGAAATCACAGGGGGAAATTTATTTTCCACAGTACTCTGGTGAGAAATTAGATCATGATCCTCTAAAACATGTAAGCTTCCATTGTAAAGGCTTCAAACTCTGCCATTTAATTATTGCTGCCAACATTTAAAAACCTGTTGAATATTAATAGTCCTTCTGTGTTATTATTGGTAAGGGAACATTGAAGATAGCTGGTGTGGGTCTTCCGGGCTGTGTGGCCGTGTTCTTGAAGTTTTGTTTCCTAACAT